AAAAAAACAAAAAACAATAAAAAAAACCAAAGCTTTGTGTTAGTCTTTGCTGGGGTAGGTCTGCTTTGGTCCTGAGCTTAATCCAAGGTGTAAATTATTCTGTAGGTTATGGTGCTGCCACTTCAGCCATCATCTCCCTGGTGGCTCAGTTGAATGTCTAGGGTGCTCAGCATGGTCTCTTCATTCTGATATGCCAGCATTTCCTAGAACTGCAGATCATCTCGTATTTCCATTTGGTAATGATTTTGGTTGCAGACATCCTGTTACATGGGATCTTCTCAGACCTTTGTGTCAGATCATGGTTAAGGATCTGCAGTAAATTCTTATGCAGAGTCTGCTCCTCAACCTTTCATGCAGCCATCTCCATTTTTGGCCACATGCCCAGTAAATGATAGCTTTTTTGGCAGCCTGGTATTCATATTTCTGCATTCTCAGTTCATCAAGACTACAGTTCAGCCTGGTCTTTATGTCCCTGAATTAGAGCAAGAAAAAACAGTCAACAAAACTTGTGAGAACCCTAGGACTCTCCATGTGTATTTTCTTTCTTTCAAAGATTCATCCTGCTCTGAACATTGTTGAATGCCTGAAAATAGTTGTTTCATATATTTTCCATTCAGTTTTATGGTGTTTACAGCTAGAAGGGAGTTCAAGTATCAGTGACTTTGTCATGGCTGGAATAAAAATTTCATAGATTTATGTTTAATTTTCACAAAACCTTGAGATACAGTATTTGTGAAGTACTACAACTATTATAATCTAATCTTAGAGAAAATTAAATTCAGATCAACTAGTGAGTGGGAGAGTCAGACTTGATTCTAGGCAGTCAGATTTCAGACTTGCTCTTCACATACTATGCTGCCTCTGTACCCTGAAATTGTGCAATTTCCTTCACAGAATTTATTGCATATTATTTATCTCATATATTTACTAGTATCTATATATTTTTCCATTTTGTTTACTACTTCTTCTGATATATAATTCCAGGTATTTCTTAACTGTCTCCCCATTGCCTAGCATAGGAACAGGCTAGGGGAATTAAAAAATATTTGCTAAATGAATAAATTATATAATTGCCACCCTATTATAAAACAATGGTGAAAAAAGGAGAATTTCCACATTTTTGAAACTTTAGACTTCATCTTCCCTGCCACCTGTGGCAAAAAAATTCTGCCACATACAAAAAGTAAAGGTGGGGAATATGCAAAATGTATTATGTAGCATTAAAATCTTTACATTTATGTGTATTGAAATATTACATGGTAGGAAATGAGTTATATCAGAATTTCTGTTGTTGACAAGATAGCTGTAAATAGGAATCAGTCTTAGAGCAACAGTGGCACTAGCTAGATGAAATGAGCTGAGTTCATATCAGAGTGGAGAATCTGGGGAGCACTTTTGGGTGAAGTAAAACCTCTACCCATATTTGTGATATTGGATTTATTATAATAAAAAGAGAAACAATATTTTTAATAATTGATTTTTATAAAGCCTTTTGGTGATACATAGCTAATTAATTATAAATGGTAACTTTGTTGATCTTAAAACCATAATGTTGTGATTCCTGTAGTTTTCTACATGACAAAACAATATGCCTTTGTTCTTATCAGAAGCAAAACTACATGGTGGTTTTTAAGTTAATTATTGTGTTAAGAAGTCTCCTAAAGATATGCAGTAGACTTCACATTTACATAAAATTAAAGAAAGGATGCATCAGCAAATGCAAATAAATGCAAAAAAGGAATATTTTAATTTTGATCCATGATTAGTAGCAACTATCAATGTGTTAATAATACAAAAGCGTAATTCTGTATTCAGTGCATAACTAATGGTTGTAAAGTATTTATAGACCAAATATCTTGATTAATTAACTTATTTTATGAAATATGCATTGCTTATAGTTCAAACTTTATTTGTTAAATCTGGATTTTTTGAGATGATTTAATATTAAAAATATGTGTGCCAACTTCTGCAGTTTTGAGCTATGACAAGCTCAGGAAAATGATTGATGTGTCTTGGTGCATTATTAATTGTATAAATTGACTGTTTAACCTCTATTGATTTGCATTTCTCACTTATTTTCAACAGAAGCAAAAGTTGTTTTATGGTATAAAAAAAGTACATAAAAATTAATCCTAACAGAATTTTTTGAGAGGATCATATTACTATTATTACTATTCCTTATTATTTTTTCCTCTAAGTAATTTTCTAGTTCTTGTTTGTATTTGTTTGTTTAGTTCTTTTCTTAGCTTTTTATTTGTTTATTTTTTTCCCATGCTGGGGATCAAACCCAAGGCTTCACATTTGCTAGACTTCCGCTTTATCACCAAGCTACCAGGTTGTGTTCCAGCCCTCAAAAGAAGTATAGAAACAAAGACGTTGCCTACATTCCAACCTCTGCAGCGCAGGCTATAGCTGTGAATCCCACTCTACTCCTCTGGCACGGTGCTAGGGGATAAACACGGCATGGACCAGGAGCCCTTTGTTCACCGGTGACACCTGTGGCGTCTTCAGCTTGACTGACATGGCCTTGCAAGCACACACAGGAAGGTCCTAAAAAATCTTTTACACTCTTAGTTTATAATTGAATTCTTTTCTCATTCTAAACATTGAACACATCAAAGCTGATTCTTGCATCCTCAGGAAGTGTAGTATTTTATTCCTCTTAAGTTTAAATTGTAGTGAAATTTCTAATCATTTTTCCTATTATTTATTTTTAAGAAACTTGATTGAATTTTGACATGGTCATACCATTTGAAATATTTTTGTTTTTAGTGTATTTTTAAAATTTGACATTTATAAATAATCTGCATGTATATTATGTACACATTACATATATTATAAATTCTATACATTATAGAATAAATACTAAAAGCCAGACTTGAAATATTATATTAAATATGATTTTAAAAAGCATCAAACCATTCTGATATCCAGGAGATATTTTTCTTACAATGCAGGCCATGTTGGTGGCCCTTTGATGTGTGATGAAAGTCATGGAAAAGGTAATCTGTAATTTTTTCTAGTACATCAATTTATTATTGTTAATGCATTTCTATAGATTTTTCTGGGCTAGTCTAAATATTGATTATTTTTCCCATTGTACTGTCAAGTCAACCAAGTAGCCCAGACAGGATAATAATTTTGACATACTTAAATGTATGTTCCTTTTTAACACTGACTTCTTTCAAATATAAATGGAACAAAATTCTTTGGCAGACTGTATATCCTGACATTGATTCAGAAACTATGGTTGTATAAAGAATTCCTGAATGGATAGAAGGCAGAGTTTCTTCTGGTTCCAAAGGGAAATGCTTTTAGATTCTGTAGTTTACTTAAGCAGGTGAATTGCTTTTAAGTTACCTATGAATTTCGAAGAAGTTTTGTTGCCTGTAGATTCTTGATGTCATCATGGCCATGGTTAGGGCAACGCAGTCTTGGGCAGAACTTTAACGTCCTATCCAGGTGGGTTTATAAATGGCTTTTTACATGTTGGCAAGTTATTCACTAATGGGTCTTACTATAATTGTTTATTGTGTTTCTCAGAGTCTATTAATAAACCAGGTATTTTGGTCTCATTTCAATATTAGTTTTGCTTCTTCTACCTAAAGGAAATACAAGGATATGAGATAAAAAATGGGTAACGCCAAAGCTCTAGGTAAATTTCACTAAGTCAGGTTGGGAAGGATAAAAGTATAATTTTAAGACAAGCATTATTGGAAAAAGCATAGCATAATCAAATTATATTTGCTGTAGATTAAAACTGATTGCTACTGATGAGAAAACGATCTTTGTATAATAATGTACCCAGACAGGTACATTATTATAGAAGGAAAGAGAGGCCAGGTAACCCACAGAATTCTAGAAATCTCCCACATTGTAATGTAGTGATATAGAATTCTTCAGAAGGTTATAAATACGAAAAAGAAATGTCTAAGAATACAGATAAAAATATTTCACACCTTTGGAAAGCTGCCCAAGGGATCCTAACATCCTTTGAATCAGTTATGTTATCACAAGATGAGCCACAACTTTCAGGTCTTGCCTCAAGTCTATTATTGTTAGTATATTTCTAGTTCCTTTATATCTTTCCACATCTCTTCTGCAGCTTTGGAACCCTGTTAGCCTTACACACCGAGTCCTTTCCTCACCTTCCTTTCTCCCTCCTCTGCCAGTTGCCTGTCTTTTAATTTTATCCCACAATATGAATGAATACTATTCATAATTGTTGCTTACGTGTCTATTTATTCTTAGGTTTTAAAATAATTGCTTATCTCCATGATTGTTTAGTTTTAACTAAATCAAGCAATATATAATTTGTTTTGCTAATGATTTGGTTTTGTCGGTTTTATTCTTTACTGTTTTGTTCAATTGTATTATAACTAACGATATAGGCAATTCTATTAGAGATAGCGGGAGGCATTATGGTAACCATTGTTGATCACCTTGTATTATGTTTTTACATTATCTATTATGTCCACCCTTTTGACTTGACCGATTCTGTTCTGTTATGTTACATTTGGTTTTACTCTCTTCCAAAAAGTAATAAGAACCGTGGGAACAATGAAACCCAAAATGTGTAATAGTCATAGTACAAAAGAGAGGAAAAGAAAGTGCTCTAAACTATATAACTGCATGTATATTTAAGTGTATAAGATAGAAAATGATATCACAGAGTTTTATTGGATCATTGAACAGAACTGTTTGCAGTATCATTGATGGAATGTCCACTTTACAAGCTTTAATTTTGTGACTTAAACAATTATTTCTAAAATGACAATATGTAATCCATTAACTAGTGATTTCCTACTGTTCATTTTTTTTTTCTGTAAATCTGTATAACTTGTACCCTTTCTCTGCTTTTTTTTTCTTTTCTCCTTAAATAAAATTTAAAAAAAAATGAAAGGGAAGGTGACCAGACAAGCTCAGAGAGTAGCCTCCTGGTGCCTGGGTTGTACGTTTTTAGTACCATTGCTTACGCGATTGGTAGTATTTTATTTTACCTGTGGGCATGATTCAGGGCAAGGTCAGGCTTCCTCATTCGTAGGTAGCAGGTGACGAGCTTTGTCTCAATGAAACTTGCTATGGCTGCTATATGGTCAGCAGGTGCATCGAAGGGTTTTCCTAGAGCCGCCCCTTTGCTGCAAAGCTTAAAGACATACAATGCATTAAATTTCCAAATAATTTTGCCATATAATATGCTTTTAAATAAGCAAAACATACATATGTATGCATATTTTGAAACTAGAAGCAAAATATTAATACTTTGTACATTAAAATGTTCCTGCTTGCTATTATCCTATATAATATAAAGTGACGCATTTTACTGTAAAGTGTTTCCTATAAAATATTTTAAAGTATGATAGATTTTAAAGGAGTGTCATTTTCTAAGAATGACTGTTTTTAAGATAAAGCACATGATAAGCAAAAGATATTAACAGAAAACTAGGCGTAAATCATGTTAAATACCAATGCTTTTATGAAAACCCAGCTGAGCAATGATCTAGCAAACTATCAAGTTTGATTTAATATAATAAGCGGTATCGGAAGTAAACTCCTAGGAGCCATTAACATGATCGGTGATTAATTTGAGTCTGAATCACATTCTTTAGGATGTTATTGAAAGAAAAGAAGTGAAAATTTATTAGGACTTATTGGCAGAGGCCACAGTATCTAAAAAACATGGCAAGAATGTGGAATTCTTAATAAAAATTCCAGGAAGTCAGTGGTTTCTGGGCAACATAGATAAACTATAGAGGAAGAAATAATTAATTTTGGGAGAGAAACTCAGACATTAAGAAGCCTCAATAATATGACAACAGTGGGTCAGCACTTTTCTTTTCCCTTCAAAGTTTTTTGCTGTTCTTCGTAATTAAACCTGATGAGAAGGCGAAATCCCACCTTGTCCTTTGACCCCAGTCAGAGGAGCTTCTTTGCTCCTCCGTGCTTCATTTATATATATAAAGAGTGACTGAAAGGTTTAGTGAAATTTTAAATTTAAAAAACATAATTATTTCAGTAAAAGACACATTGGCATTAACTCTCACCAAAATAACTCTCCCTGGCCTTCAACACATTTATCTCATCATTCTTGCTCATTTCTGAAAGTGTTCTGAAAATCCTTTTGTGTGATCAAAAAGGTGATGAGTGCTACAGCTGAAAACAATCTAACACCAAGGCGGGCTGGTGGAGGTATTATAGTGTATCTGCTGGCACCGTGCTCACAGGATGTGGTCCATGCAGCTTCTACTTACGCTTTAAAGTCAAAATGATCATGAAAGGTAGACTTTCATTTAATAATAGTGCAATTAAAGATACTCAAGAAAGAGGACTTCCAGAGCTGCTTCAGAAAGTGCCAAGAATGGTGGGACAAGTCAGTTTGAACCAAGAGTACGTATTTTGAGGGGTGTCGATGCCAATGTGTCTTTCACTGTAAGAGTTTTTTAAAATTTAAATGTTCACTCCCCTGTCTAACACTTTAAATACTGGGGGGACACTCTCATTGGAGATAGGAATATTTAATGCTGCTGTCTATTTTATACAAATAAGTTTAAATTGTTTTTTAAGTGATGTAGTTCAAGACTTTTCTTTTATAGATTACTACTTAAAACTGGCTTGCCATTTACATTAACACTATTGTCAATTCCAATTTTTCAAAAATGCAATTTGGATATTTGAGTTTTATCCAAAAATATAAACTATAAAAATACAGAATCTAGATAACCGTGTATAGTTTGAATTGATAGTCAACTAATGCTACTATATTTTCTCTGAAGATTTTGTCAATGTTGTAGATTTACATTGTTTTTTTAAAACCCTTTCCCAGTTTGATGGCCAAAAAATGTTAAGTAAATAAATATTTATTGAACATCTATAACCACTTTCCAGATGAAAATTGTTGCCTTCATATTTCAATATGAATTAATTGGGCTTTTTCATAAATGTTATTTTAACTATATGTGACTATCTATTCTCTATTCCTTTCATATTTCCATTAGCATGTTAATCTCTTTCTTCATAATTATAGTAACTGTTTAGGTACACAACCTATTAATGCTTTTTCTGGTAATAACTCATGAACAAGTATAGGGGTTTAATCCCCAAATTACTCTTCAGAACAGTGTCAACATTTATTCATGCTTTTTTCTTTTATGATAATTTCTTTTCCTAATACTTAGGAAAAGTATTACAAAACATTTTCTCAATTATTTAAAAAAAAGAAAAGAAGAATAGCAAAGACTTTGTGGAAGACAAAAGGGCATGACCTTGGTCAGTGCTGTTGGATGCGGTGTGGAGAATACTCAGCGAGACTGGTGATAGAACAGATGAAATATTTAACACACAGCTAGTAATTATTTCTGAGAGTCTCACTCCAGAAATGTCAATGTGGCTATAAACAGACCTTAAAATATAATTTTAGAAAATATTGTAGTTTATAAATGGCTGCCTAAGACAGCATATCCTGCCTTATACCAACCTCATCTCACAGCACCCAGAACTGCCTGGACAGTCTTTCAGAAAATAAATTGCATGTCATAACTACAAAGCACAAAACAATGAAAAACAAAATGAACACAACTATACAGCTTTATCCATGCATCAAAGCACTAAAATTGTACACTTCCCAGTTGTATCTCTTAAATGAGATCAGCACTTCCCCAAGTCTTAAATACACAAATTATTCTTTACATAAAATCTTCATACAAAATAAGCTCCACTTTATGTATGTTCTTTGTTTCTTTCTGTCCCTGTTAGTTTCTGATCTGCTAGACTGAACGAGCCACTTTTTACGAGATGACTTTGTAGGTCATTCAGAGAGCAGTCAGGGAGTTACTTCCACGAGGACATTCAGATCTTTCCTGACAGAGGAAGCCACCCTTCGGGTTCTGTGATACTGAAAAGTCAGTCTGTGAACACTGAGAGAAGTAGAGAACAAATGCTACATCTTCTAATGTCTGCAGAAGTCTCTACTTCTATGAGACTCGAGGATAGAAAAGGAATAATAATGATCAGTCTTAATACACAAATGAGAATATTTTATGAATTCAAATTATGAAACACCAGGGAAAGGCAAGGATCATTTTTCAGCTTGGATTAAAATGGCAAAACAGGCAGCTTGCTGAGAAGGCTTGTGCACGTGTGGTAATCTGTATCAATCATATAGCGTAAAATTGAGGACTTCACTGATTTTATCAAAGATTGTTTTATTTGTTATCTTCCAAAGGAGTATAGTTTTTGAAGTCCACTGGGAAGTAAGGTGAACTGATATAAAATGAGTTGAAGTTAAATGAAAAGGTAATAATATAGGTCTGTATAGACAGAACACTATCATCAGACTGTCAAGAAACATTGTAGGATTTTTACGAAGTTTTAAGTTTTAATGCACTCATTGTTACAGACTGCAAAGTTAATTCTCCAGAAGATAGACTTTAATGTGGTTTGAATTGGTTTCAGTGTAGTTAGAGTGACTGTGTCCAACCTTTGCTTGTCTAAAAATATACTCTTCAAATCTTTGGTGAAAATCTCTAGCAGGGAGCTAAGGGGAAAACTACCTGAAATAGAAGAAGAAGACCAGTAAGAAGACTCTGAGTGTGAAAAATAATATTAGGTGTTCTTTTATTTCAAAAGGAACTTTAAACTATTTTTGAATGAAGTGTGGACATACTAAAAGCAAAATATTTAGGAATAAAAACAGTTAAAACTCTTATAAATGCTGTGCACACGCCTATATTCCCAACATTTAGGAGGCTGAGGCAGGAGGATCACTATGAATTTTAGATCAGTGTAGGCTACAGAGTGAGTGCAAGATCAGCCTGAACTGTGTAGCGAAACCCTGTCTTAAAAAGACAAAACAAACAAACATACAAACCCCAAAGCTCTGTAAGTATAGATTTTTAAAATGACAATTCAGACATTAATAAGACAATATATATTACAAAATATGTGATCATTTTCTGAAAACAATGTACTTTGTTGTAATGATATTAATGCACACTGTCTTAGGTTTCTCCAAGTTCATTTAAATAACAGGTATTATGTGTATTTTCAAAAATTACAATTTCCAAGTTTGTTTAAAAAATGCAAATAAAAATAACAAGACTCAAGAATAAAGTAATCAATATTAAATGTCATATAGTAGTCACACTCTAAAAAATTTCCTCTGAGCATTTTCTTTACATATGATTGTTCTTACCAAGACTTATCCTGCTAGTAGGTACTCCCTCATTATTACTATGAGTGTTTGCCCAGGATAATCCTGGGGAATTATTTTGAGGAATGTCTAGAAATATAGGAGAGCACAACAAATCTTGATAAATGTGGCACTGTTTGAACAAATATTTGTAAATAGATATATCATCAGTCAGTCATGATGGTTTAAGATTTTTTTTTTTTGTCTTTTTCTTTTTTATCGGTACCAAGGATCGAACTCACGACCACACACTTGCAAGGCAGGCACTTACGCCGATGAGCTAAATCCCCAGTGCAAGATTTTTATGTTGATTTTGGAAGTTTCAAAAAGGTCTAAAGATGAAAAAAAAAGTTACCAACAACCCTACCTCCATATAATTCATTAGTTCTTTTTTTCAGTACACGTTTGCTGTACATAATGATTATATTCATTGTGAGGAGTTGGTATGTGTCCTAACACATTTTAATTCTTTTTCATCCACTTTCCCCGACCTTTTCCTTTCCATCTGTTGGTCCCCTTCTCTTTTGCAAAAGATCTGTTTCCCTGCTTCCTATTACCTATTTTTTATTTTGCATTTTAAATACTTTGGACTTCTCATATAAGAGAAATCATGAAATATTTAAAATTGTGTGTCTGGTTTATTTTACTAATTCTTGATCTGTTTCTCAGTATATTTTTATGCTTTTGTATATTTGACGCTTTGTCATGTCCTTTGACTGAAAAATTAGGATATGCTAATTAAAATCAACTCATTTCAGCTACATTTAAGGAATTCAATATTTTTCTCTCATCAAATGACAGAAACACTGGCGAAAGTATGGAGCTGAGCAACATAATCAACGAACAGGATGTAATGGGCACAATGCACATGGACCTATATAAAAAACCTTTTGCCTGACGATAGCAGAATGCACATTTTTCTGGGGTACCCATGGGAAAATTGCCTATGTAATATCCTG